TTTATCTATCAACAAGAAAACACTGCCAAGTAAATTATGACACAGCTATAAGATGCATCCTGATTTTAGACATATTAAGATATGAAACAATGTGCATATTAAAATCAAAATACAGGGCGCCTGGGTGGCTCAGATGGTTAAGCGTCTGCCTTCGGCTCAGGTCATGATCCCAGGGTCCTGGGATCGAGTCCCACATCGGGCTCCCTGCTCCTTGGGAGCCTGCTTCTCCCTCTGCTTCTCTCTCTCTCTCTCTCCCCCTCTGTCTCTCATGAATAAATGAATAAAATCTTTAAAAAAAAAAAATCAAAATACAGTAAATACTGGACATTCCATATTACATTTAGGGTGGCTGCTAATTCTATTCTTGAGATGTTGAAATTGGTCAATGCTTAAGATTTTAGGCAACAGTATGATTAAAGAAAATTTCGAATAATTGAGGTTTTGTCTGAGTTCAACATCTTATGAATTTCATTAGATCATTCATCCACTGGACAAATATTTAGAATGGCCTACTATGGAGAAGGCACTGAGGTTATAAATAGTGTGCAAAAAGAGACATAGTTCCTGTTATTGCGTAGCTTTTAATTTTATTGGATCATGATAAAAGAAAATGACCTGTACAATTTCCTTTTTAATTCTGAGGTTTTTCTTTGAGGCCATATGATCAATTTTGGTAAATGTTCCCTGGATCACATATATTAAGAACTGGAACTACTGGATGTAAGGGTTTGTGAGCTTACTCCAAGTTCCCGGCACATAAAAGGAGTTCATACAAATTTGTATTTTGAGGTGTTATGTTCCCGAAGAGAATGTCAGATTTATTTCTTAATAAACCAAGGACCATATAAATGGGAAACGATAAGTATTATAAGAAATCAAAGATACAAGTTCGGAACAAAATGATCCAAAGAAAGTCACTAGAAGTATGAAGTCTGTTTTGAAATGGGTTTTGAAGAATGGGCAAGAATTCCCTGGGGAGCAAACGAATATATACAGCAAAAACAGAAACTGAAGATTTTTAAACAATTTGTTTTAAATTAAGCATGCACTTGGGTCATCCTCTGTAATTTCCTCGAAACCTTAAGATTTAAATTACCATGGATTTCTTCTGAATAGAATGAACAGGATTTGGACTGGTGGAGAAGAGCGGGAAAAGGCATTTATGAGGTAGTAGGGTCTCAAGAAACCAATGCGTTGACCACGACTAAGCGAAGCAGCAAGTGATGTCGGTGGAATTTGCAAGCTGTTTATTCCAAAGCTTCAAAAACACGGGGTCAAATTGTGCCTCATAACATTTGCCTTTGGCCTTGGCGAGAGTGGGAACCCTCTCCACCCCTCGCCTCTGGCCGACGACAGTGGGCCGGGCTCGCTCTCACCTGCGCCTGGATGTAGAGGGAGACGCAGTCCTGCGACAGCCGGTACTTGCGCAGCAGCCTCAGGCATTTCACCAGATGCTCCTCCCCCGCCGACAGCTCCTCGGTGTCGATGTGGTTCACACCGAGGTGGAACTCGATCACCGCCAGCCTCACTGCTCCCTGGGCGATGGGCCCCTCGGCCTCCACCACTTCGGCCGGCGGCCCCAGGGCGTGGTCCCCCGCGCCCAAGCCGTCCTCCGCCTGAGGCCGCTCATCCTCGTCCTCAGGCGCGGGGCCCAACAGCGCCTTGACCTCTTCCAGCAGTGCTCGGGCGCCGTACTTGGACTTATAGGGTTCTTTCTCGGGGTTTTTATGCAATTCCACCCGCGACAGGGCCAGCGCGGCCTGAAATTTCTCACGAATCTCGGCCCACGGAGGATTCGCCATAGCGGCCTCTACCGCCTGGGTGCCCTCAACGTTTGCAATCGGGACTCCCGCCTTCTTTCTGCTTTGCGACACTTCACTTACGGCCTCGGACAGATTCCCAACACTGCGGAACCGTAACCAATGAGGTCAGCCAGAGGAACCGCAATGTGCTCGGCTGTAACCAATGGAAAGGCGTAGTGGGCACCACAGCAACCGTTGTCACGGAAACTAAACTCTCAATGAGGGGGTGTCCCACCTCCAGCCCCACCCTCTGCGGTGATGCATTCTCTCGCGTGACCCGTAGAAGTTCTACCTTTAACAGAACACATTAGAAATGTAACTAACTATTCTCGTTAGTTGGTATAACCTGAATGACAGAAAACTTTTGATATAAATATATAACCTAGCCCATGACTGGATGAAGATGTAACAAGGATTCATTTATTATTGATGTATAGCTTCTGAAGTGAAAGTTAGCTTTCACTACGTAAAAAGCACTCAGTGATCGACAAATGTTTTTACTTCAATACTGAAGTAGGTTGTAGGTATGTGTAGAACTTTCCAAAGTAACACAGAAGTCCCAGACCTGTGATAAGCCACTTCAGGCGTGCCTTTTTCCATTCTATACCTTCCTAAGTTGTGAAGTCAAATGCAAGTCAAATGTGGGGGGAAGGGGCCGGGCGGAGGTGTTAACTATTAGGCGCTAGCTAGCTCTGTGTTCTTGGAGATACACAAAGGAGCACTGATTTTAGAAGCTCATAGACATAGTTTGATCCTCAGCTCTGCTTCTAATTGACAAGTTAACTTTTCTAAGCTTCAGGTTTTTCATGGTAAAACATAAGTGATACTATTACTTATCTCTACAGAATTATCCTAAGGAAGAAGTGAAATTACTATCTATCCTTTAAATGTTAGTGTTGCTCGGGGCTCCTTCCTAAACTTTGTCCCAGGGAGATCTTACGCATTTCCATGGCTTCTATTACAAAACTTGGGTCTCCAGGCCCGATGATTCTCTGGAGTTCCAGACTGTAATATCCACCTCCCAACGGGAACCACCACACCTGAATGTTCCACTGTATATCAGTATGTTGAAACTGGAACTCATTCTCTTCCTCTTCACATGCCCCGCCCCTCCCTCCCATACCACATTAGCTCTTATGTTCGGCATCTCCGAGAATGGCACCATTTGCACTCACTCTCTTCTCTCATTCTTAGATTTATTTTATTTTACTTGGCAGAGAGAGACACAGCGGGAGAGGGAACACAAGCAGGGGGAGTGGGAGAGGGAGAAGCAGACTCCCCGCTGAGCAGGCTCGATCCCAGGACCCCAGGATCATGACCTGAGCTGAAGGCAGACGCTTAACGACTGAGCCACCCAGGCGCCCTCTTCTCTCATTCTTAAATATAAAACCAAGTACTGTCCAATCCATTTCCTAAAGAACTCTTGCATCTGTGTACTTCTCCTCTCCAGTAGTTTGGACCACCATCATCTGAATCACCTTTAGTAGGTACTCTTGCTGCCAGTCTGCCTTCCTCCAGGGCATTTTCCACAACACTTCAAATGACTCATCCATTCATTCAGTAAGTAGATGAAGTGTCTGTTAATTTGCTAGGCACTGTTCTAGCTTCTGGGAATCCAGCAGTTAAAAACAGACAAAAATCTCTGCCCTAGTATAGGGAAATACGTTAAATATTTTAAATGAACTATATAGCAATGTCAAAGGATGAGTGTCATGGGAACAAAACAAAAGAGAAGATAAGGAGTGTAAGCAGATGAAGCAAGGTTGCTATTTTTAAACAGGAAAGGTCCTTTTTGAGGAGTGTCATTTGAGTAAAGATCTGAAGGTAAGAGAGTGAGCCATGAAGACATCAGGGGAAGTATATCCCAGACAAAGGAACAGCAAATACAAAGGCTTTGACACAGGAGTGTGCCTGGTGTGTTTAAGGAACAGGGAGACCTCTTAAGAGCCTGGGGTAGAGAGAACGGAAAGGGCAGTAGGTGATGAAGTCAGAGAAGCAATGTGGGCCCAATCATGTAGGGCTCTTAAGGCCACCATAGGGACTTTGGCTATTCTGAGTGAGATGGGAGCCATTGGATGGTTTTGAAGGAGTGACAAAATCTGACTTAAGGATTATTCTGAAAACAACTGAAGGAGGGGGACAGAGAAAAAGTGGGGAGACTGAAAAAAAGCAGGGAGACTGGTGAGGAAACTACCGTAAAAATCATAGTAGGTGCTCAGTACCTAGCTGATCACGAATAGGAAAGCAACTGGCCCTGTTAATAGTGGTAGCTAATTACTTACTATGAGCCAAATAACATTCTATATATTAGAATCATCTAATCCTTGAAACTGATATTGCACTGTATGTTGACTAGCTGGAATTTATTATTTTTTTTATTAAGGTTTTTTTTTTTTTTTTTTGACAGAGAGAGACACAGCGAGAGAGAGAACACAGCAGGGGGAGTGGGAGAGGGAGAAGCAGGCTCTCCTTGGAGCAGGGAGCCCGATGCGGGGCTCGATCCCAGGACCCTGGGATCGTGACCTGAGCCGAAGGCAGACGCTTAATGACTGAGCCACCCAGGCGCCC